AACGAAGGCATTAGTACATGCTTAGTCCTGTGGTCCCCGTTTTAATCCCCTGATGGTTGCCTGATTTGGGTTTGTTTTAGATGCTGGAGGATGAAGGGAGGAGTTTGTCAGACGGCAGATCAGATGCTTTTCAGTGGATCAGAAAGATCTATGTGGGATGTGGAAGAGCTTTTCACACAGTAACCCAACCTCAAGCAAGGTCTCTGACCTAAACCCTGGGAGGGGCCCGCTGATGAGTCAGGCAGCTATTCCTGGAGCTGACATGGAAGAGAGGGCACTTTTCTTCTCTGGTCAGGTGAGGCATTCCTCTGGCAGGGAGAGAAGGAAGTGGTTGTTTGAGGGGTGCACAGCCAAGATCCAGGAGGTGGCCTGGTGTCCCTGCTCACAGGTGTCACTGTCTGTATAAGAAGGCTAAGGACTGGCAGATAGTCTAGTAGGAAGGTACCTGTGAGACCTGCTGTGGGGTTTCCTGCTGGGATGCTCGGGCCTTCAGTGAATGGAGGGGTTGTCACTAGGCATTGGCCTGGTAGTCAGGATGCAAGCCCTTAGATCACAGTCCCTGTGCTGCTGTCCTGTTTGTTTCCGTGCTAGCCAGGTCCCTCTTCTGTCCCAGGCTCAGTATATCAGCATCCTGTTCTCTGCCCCAAGAATCTGCTCTGTCTTGGGTCCTGCCTGAGTTTCCAGAGTCATACTTCTCAAAGATGTGACCATGTTTCCCCAACCCTGAACCTGGGTTCTGATGCCATGTGGCTGGTTGAGGCCAAAAGAAAAGTGACAGGGACTGTCTGTGTGTGTGCATGAGTCCGGGCGAGGGCTGAGCCTTCAGTTCCTGGCAGTTCCCCTCCAGCATTCTTATGTTCTCTAGCCATGGGTCTACTGGAGATGGGAGCCTGGCTCTGTTCACCCCCCACCCCACCCCCACCTCGGCTAGCCTTCTGTCACCTCCTCCACATAGTGAAGGCCTAGTTGGCCCTTTGTTCCCAGAACAGCCTATGACTCTGCCTCCAGCCTCTTGTTATTTTTGAGGCTTCTCCTCAGAGTCCAGGTGAGCCCTCCTGTCTACCTGTCTACAAGAGGCCTGCTCTTTACTCAGGCGGAGGCCACCCCCCACCCCACCCCCACCTCGGCTAGCCTTCTGTCACCTCCTCCACATAGTGAAGGCCTAGTTGGCCCTTTGTTCCCAGAACAGCCTATGACTCTGCCTCCAGCCTCTTGTTATTTTTGAGGCTTCTCCTCAGAGTCCAGGTGAGCCCTCCTGTCTACCTGTCTACAAGAAGCCTGCTCTTTACTCAGGTGTGGGGGGGGTGGCGCCTGCCTGAAGGGTCATAGTCATGTGAATGACAGTAATAACATCCATGGGCATAACTGAACACTTTACCGGTATGCTGGGCACTGCTAAGTATTTCACAAGCCTGATCCTAGTTTTCCCAGCAACCCTGTGGAGTGTAGATTACAAATGTTACTTTACTCCTATTTTATAGCAGAGGAAACTGAGGCTGAGAGAGGTTATCACCTACCCAAAGTTACGTGGCCAATGAGTAGGTGAGCCTGTATTTAAATCCAATTTGATATGTCTTATTAAAATCTCTGTTCTGATATCCTAATTGTGGTTCCTCCCACTATATTGGAACCGAGTGTCTGGGAATTGTGACCTGGATTGGAATGGGATGACAGTATCAGGTAGGAAAGGATCTTTCCCTGCTTCTCTCCAGAATCTGATGAGAACCCACTGCCTACCACACACACACACACACACACACACACACACACACACACACACACACACACACACAAATGTATCTTTTTAACTCTCCCTCTCTCCCTCTCTCTCTCTCTCTCCTTCTTGCTGAACCTCAGGTTCCTAAGAAGAGGTGTTCTAACAGCTGGGAACAGCTTTGGTAAGGAGGAGGGCTGGGGAGGTGGGTCCGAGCTTTTTGAGAACTCCACTTAGTGCCTCCTAAGGCTTGTCTTTTTGTCTGTTGCAGGATGGGGCATAGAGTACTTTGAGTACTTTGTCTCAGTCTTGACCTCCTGCAGGTACTTGGGCTGGTCTGTGCTAGGTAGTATTGTCTGTCCCACCCCTCCCCCAGGGGTATGCTGATGCACACCTGACCCAGCTGTTAGGACTGCCTGGGGTCAGGTCAGCTCCCCTGTTCTGTGATTACAGTCTGAAATGCTCCTCACAGCAAAGCAGTCCTCACCCAGATTCCCAGCTTCCCACAGAGATTCCAGAGTTCCGCAAACTCCAGCTACAGGCCTTGGTGCTTGAAACCCAGAGGAATATCAGCACATAGAATTAACACCTTTCTTTGGATTATTGGTTAGCCAAGTACTAGCCTTCACACTGTGCATGTGCCTAGAATTGTGTTTCCTGACTCATGAAAAGGCAGCATCAGCCTCACATCCCAAAGAGCACTCAAAGGCCTCCTGAAAGGAGCTGGGCTGTACGAGGCCAGCTGAGTCAGGGCTGAGCCATGCTGTGCTGAGAAGCAGCCTTCCTTGTGGGGACAAGTAGGTTAATCCAGGTCTTGCAAAATCAAGAGAATTTGGCTGTGAAAGATCTGAGGCCCTTACGGGCGGGGAAGGTAGCAGGGTTGCTGAACACAGTCAGATACAGACCCATGGGATCCATGCAGTCTGACTGTGAACAGTCCAGGTGGCCAAGGAGAAAGTGCTGTAGGGAGAAGCCTGAATATTTTTTTGAGCAAAAGAGTGACATTATGGGCAGTTTAGACAGTGGGAGTGTGCTGCTTAAGGAGTCAGGAAACTGACCTGTGAATGCCACCTTCTAGTTGATTCTGGACAGACCACGTAGCTCTCATGCAGTTGCCTCCTCTATAAAATGGGACCACAGTGCGTTCTCTGCCTGTGAATGTGCAAGGCTCTACAGACCTCAGTCGGATGATAACGACGAAAATGATGAAGGCCGAGTTTAGGGGCAGCAGGCAGGTCCCTGGGCTGAGGTGTCAGTCCCGTGTCGCAGCAATCCAGAGTGGTGTCAGAGAGCCCCAGAGGCAGAGCAGAAATGCAGATGGGGTGTTTACAGAGCAAAGGAGACAATGAGCCCAGCGAGTGTTGCCCACGTCAAGAGAAGCCAAGGGGTGGAAGGGCACTACTTTCAGGGTCAGATGAGTAGGCACTGACGTTCCTGACATGGGTGCTGCTGAGGTTCCTGAGAGGCTGGCAGGGGTGGATAGCAGCAGTGCAGGGAGTCACGAGTGGAGGGGCCCTGCTGAAGAAGTAAGGGGAGCAGCACACGATGTTTGCCCTCAGATGGGAGCAGAGAGAGGGGAGCCAGGGGCTGGTGAGGGACCCGACAGTGGCCCCTGGAAGACCACGGAATCCTCAGGTGTGCAGAGGCTGACCGTACCTGCTGCCTTGGTGCCTTCTTTCTCTAGGACCGGACTATCTGCCCAAACCTCAACCCAAAAGGGAGGAAGAGAAGAGCTGGGTTGATTTGGTAAATTCAAAAATGTCACCAGCTGGTATTTCTGGAGAGGGAGGAAGTGCAAAAAGGACCTTGGCAGTGGGCATTTTGGGACCTGGCATGGGGGGGTATGTGTTTTTTCTTCATGGCACCCAGCCTTAGGAACTGCACCAGCGTGGGGCACCCTGGTCTACGAGCCGGAGGGAAAAGTGCGATTTGATATAAATGCTGCTCGCCGCCAGGTTCGCCCAGCAGGAACCCCAGCATTTGCCCAGGGCCGGAAGAGTCAGTAAGGCCTGAGGGAGTCAGAATTGCATTGAAGGCACATTTGATATGTGTGACTAGGGTCACAGGGACCAGGCCAGGCCATGAGAAGAGCAAGAATAACTAGGAGGTTAGGTGGAGTTGAGCCGAGGGCATTGTCTAGGTAACAGTGACATGGGGAAGGCAGTCCAGGACTGAGGCCTGTGCCACTAGGAAGCCCAGGTCAGGCAATGGTAGCTGTCCCCAAAGTCCCTGGAGCTAATACTTGTGGCAGAGGCTAGAAGAGATCCAAGGTGTGCTAGAACCCGACAGGTCCTCCCTCCTGCTAACAGGACCATGGCAATGACAGTAAAGGAGCAGCTTTGAGTATGGTTTTGGAATCAGACAGGCCTGGATTTGGAAAAAAAGTAAAATACAAAGTAAAAGCCTCTACACTTCCCCATACTCCGACCTCTAAGTTTCTCGTATTCTTTCAGAAACGTGTGTGTGTATGTGTGTTTATATATGTCCTTTTCATTGTAGAAAGCACTGCCATATGCCTTGCTTTTTATCTCTTGCTTAGTTTATTGGCAACATGGAAGAGCCACCTAGTTCCTTTTCATGGCTGTTTAGTATTCAGTGATGTGGTATGCATCACTGAATAGCTAATTGGTCTCCAGTTGACAGACATGTGGTTATTGCTAGTTTGGGTTATTTTGATACAGCAGTAATCACAGTATACACATATATCTTTGAACACCAGGAGAATTATTTCTGTAGAGAAATCCTAGCTACAGATTTTCTGAGTCAAAGTTGTTCATACTCCCCATCACAGTTCTGTTTCAAAGGGGTTCTACCAGTTCCCACTCTTGCTAACAGTGTTTGAAAGTATTAACTGATGATAGTAACACAGCGCTATTGTGAGGATTAAATGAGATAATGTATAAAGCTTCCAGCCTGTGCCCCATCAGGCTGCAGGGCGGGACTCACTGCAAACTGGTTCACTGGAGGAGCATCAAGTAAGGTGCTGACTTGGGTTTTCATACTCAGCTTGGGGAAGGGGAGGTAGCAGGAAACTGGTCTGACAGCTGCTGAGCAAATGTCACCTTCATTCACACCTTCAAGAAACCCTGTCCCAGACACTGGGGCGGGGGTGGAGCAGTGAGCCAGGTGGGCGTGGCTCCCGCCCTGGTGGAGCCAACTATCTGGAGAGGCAGGGGGACAGCCAGCACTTCTCTCCAGAGTGTGCTCAGTGCTACCAGCGTGGGAGGCTGCTGCTGGTATCCCCCTGACTGAGTCTCTCTCTCCCCTGCCCCTGGACCGCTCCCAGTGTACGTGGTGGAACAGGAAAGGAAGAAGGATGACAGCGGGTGTCAGGCTGCCTTGGCTGCGTGCTGGGCTGCTCTCTGCTGCTGCTGCCTCCTGGACACCTTGGACTGAGCAGCCGAGACCCAAGCGTTCCTTCCAGGCGTGCTGCCTCCTGTAACCGGAATGAACAACTAGTGCTGCATGATCTCTGCTTTTTCTTTCTTTGAAAAATACCTAATCTGCAGACTTTTAAATTTTAGTACCCTTGATAGGTATGAAATGGTATCTAACTATTCTAATTTACCTTCCTTGAATACTAGTGACCTTGAACATAACAATATAAATTTCGGGTGATTTGCTTTTACAGATATTGTGAATTGTTTGTGTATATTCTTAGCCCATTTTTTTTTTCTATTGGTCTGTCTTTTCTTACTGAGTTATTTTCTTAATGATTTGTAGGCAATCTTTAAATATTTCACACACTATTTGTCACTCTTATAGGCTTGCAAATATCTTCACCCTGTCTCAACCTTATAGAATATTTTCTAGTATGAAATATTTTAAATGTCATGTTTATCAATCTTTCCCTCATGCTTTGTGTGTATTTTAGTCTTTGAAAAATCATTTCCTATTCCAAGTTCATAAAGCTAAGCCTATATTTTCTTCTAAAATTTTTTCACATAGAATCTTTAGACTACCTAGAGTTATTTTTGATTATGCATAGGAGAAGGTTCTGGTTTTCAGTTTTTATTTTGGTAGTCCTAACACCATTTATTGATTAGGTCATCCTTTCCCTATTGATTTGAAATGAGATTTGTCATATATACCAGGTTCCTATATATGATTGGGCTAGAAGCAGGAGTCTAGTAGGCTAAACACCTTCCCTAACCCCAGCACATGCATGCACACATACTCATTGTTTTTCTTCAGAATTTTCTTGGCCTTTCACTCTTTAATCTGGATTTTAGGATGAGTGTGTCAGTTTCTATGGAAAACTACCATGTCTGGCTTTAACTGGAATGGCATGTAATTTATAGAGTAATTGGAGAAGAGTTGACATATTTACAAGATTGTCTTCCTATTTCGAACATGGTATCTATTTTTGTGTTCTTTTATCTCTTTAAATAAAGTCACATAATTTTCTTCACATTGCTTTTGCATATCCTTTGTTGGTTTTAAAGTTGGATTTCTTCTGAGGTACATTATAGTTTTAATGCTATCATGAACAAATTATTTTTTAATATTACATTTTTGGTAAAAATTTCTTCACTCCAGTGGAGTCACAGATTAGAAGATTCTAACCTAGTTTTATCACAGCATTGCCTTTAGGGCACCTTAAACTGTGGGGAGGGTAGTTCTTCGACCCACCCCATGCGTACTCCCAGAATCAGCCTCAGTCTACAAGGACCAACATATATTCCATAAATGCCAAACAACTCCACTGTGGTAGGTGATGGACCACACAGAACAGACCCCATTTCTGCCTTCATGGGGCTTACACTGTAGGGAGGGAACCAGACATTAAATAATCCCACGTAATAACTGAGTCTACTTTCCTGTGAAGAGAAGATATGTATTGCTATGAAAACATGATAGGGAGACCATCTTGCACAGTTTGGGAGAGATCTGAAAGATGAATAGGTGCTAATAGGCAAAATGGTTGTAGGAAGAGCAGGTGCAAAGGCCCAATGGCAGGAGAGAACATGGCTCATCTGAGAAACTAGAGGAGAAAATTGGTGTGGCAGAGAGCAATGGGATGTTGGGAATGGATGAGAAACGGGGAGGAGCAAGACAGAGGCTCATAGCTCCTACCAGAGATTTAGATTTTTCTGTGAATGGTGGGAAGCCACTGAAGGGATCTCAAGCCAAGGTATGACCTGATCAAATTTGCATTTTTAAGAGATCTCTTTGGCTTTTGCATAGAGAATGGTTTGGAAGGGGGCTCAAGTTCACATGGTGATGATGGAGAGACATGAATGCATCTGAGATATTTGGAAGTAAAATCAACAGGACTTGATGACGAGTTGGATGTAGGATTGAGAGAGTCAGGGATGACTCCTGGGCTTCTGACTAGAACTAAATGCCTAGTGGTGCTATTCGTGAATGCTAGGGACAAGGGAAAGGAACCATATTTGGTTAGGAAGAAGAAAATCAAGTTGAGCTCCGAACATATTAGATTGTGGTGTCAAGATGTCTGTGAGGCATTCAAGTGGAGATGTCACATAAGCAGTTGTGTATATACCTAGAACATGGAGGAGAGGTTGGGCTGGAGATATAAATATGGACAGCACTGGCATATTGGTAGTAATTGGAACTGTGGGAGTGAATGAGATCAAGTTGCATAGAAATATGGAGGGAACAGAAAAGGTGGCAGTGTAGGGCTGAGCTTTAAAGAGATGATGAACCTGCAAAGGAGTCAGAGATAGAAAACCAGGAGAATGGGGTGTCCCGAAAGTGGAGATAATTTGTATTAAGGAGGGAGTGATCAGTAGCATCAAATGTTGCAGGGAGGTCAGGTAACTCAGAGATGTCTATTGGACTTAGCCACACTATTGTCATGGAGCGGTGGACTTCTCTCTAGTTTCTGTTCTGTAAAGGTCATCAATAGAGGAAAAGACAAGACTGCAGGACCGGAAGACAGGACTCCTCTGGCCTGGAGGAAGGCAGACATTTGCGTAGGCACAGAAGGGATAAGCTCAGAGGGGCAAACAAGCCACTGGGTATGAAGGCTCAGAATCCCTGCTAAACTGGAGAGAAGTGTGCAACACAACATCAGGTTCTAGAAAGGCCAGACAGGTAAAGGAGTCTGGCTAATGGCACTCAGCCTCGAACCCAGTTAGAGAAGATATCGCTCCACAAGAAGAATGTGTCTTCTTGGGTGGTGGTTGGAGGGTCCAGCACATAGATAAGCAAGCATGTGACCGACCATGCTCTGGGGAGGCCCTTCTGAACAACAGCCACACTGTAGATCCTCCAGGACCACTATTGCAGACTTACTGATAGTTTTCAGATTTTTCTAATATAAATCTTTTCAATAGAAACTTTACATACAACTCCAGTATGAGAAATAGATAATATGGAATTGCAGTTGAGGCAAAGAAGGACCACCCCCTACTCTTTTTAAGGAACCTGGGGACCTGAGGAATATATTTGAAAGCCTTTGGTCGTTCTGGATTTTCCAGCACATTTGGCCAAGGGAGATTCGGGCTGGACGGGGTTTGCCTGGAATGTCCTGGGACACTCACTGTCTTGCAAGCTAAATCATCAGTGTGTAACTGCTGGTGTATTTTGTGAAGATCTAGTGGGTACTTTATTGCTGGTTTTTTCCTACTTTTTGGTGATTATAAATTTGTGCAGATTTTTGTGTGAACATACGTTTTCATTTCTCTGAGGGAAATAGAATACCCAGGAGTGAAATTTCTGGACATGATTAAGTGTACGTTTAAGAAACTCCCGCTGTTTTTCAGAGTGAGGGTGCCATTTTGCGTTCCCTTCAGCAATGAAGGAGTTCCAGCTGCTCTGTATCTCACCAGTACTTGATATTGTCAGTACTTTTTCATTTTAGCCATTCCGATAAGTGTTAATAGTAGTATCTCATTGTGGTTTTAATTTGCATTTTTTAAATAGCTAATGATGTTGTCATATACTTATTTGCCATCCTTATATCCTTTTGGTGAAGTGTTTTTTCAAGTCTGCCCACTTTTAAATTGAGTTTTCTTACTGTGGAGTTTTGAGTCTTTATATATTCTACATACAAGTCCTTCGTTCGCAGTTATTCCCTTAACAGTATCTTCCACAGAGCAAAAAGTTTTGAATTTTGATTAAGTTCAATCTTTTTTTTCTTTTCTAGATAATGCTTTTGGGGTCAGGTCTGAGAACTCTTTGCATAACCCCAG